TGAGTTCCCCGATCACCACCGGAGAGGACGAGAAGACGAAGACGAAGAGTGCGTCGCGGGGGAGTAGATGATCAATTGCTTCCAATCCAAAAACCTGCCACTATTTATAGGCTCACACATTTTCCACATTCTGCTGTGCTTCTCCAAGCGTGGGTGGGCCGTGGGCTCCACGTGGGCCCATTCATCCTCGGCAACCGGTGGTGCCGCGTCAACGTCACGCCTGCCTGATGTGCATTGCTTTGTGGTCGTTTTTGGTTTACACGTACGGACACCGTGCGGGCCCCACCTAGTTAGCCAACAGTGTAGTACAGTTCAGCTTCGTCTCCAGAAGTTGATTTTTTATGAGACGGAAGGTGTAGTCCACACGCAGATCGGCACAGAAGATCCAGGCCGGTACGTGTGGGGCCCACCGTCCGCACTGACGGGCGCACAGAGAGATGCTGCTAAAACCAGAGAACACACGGGCGGACCCCACCAAGCCACGGGGCCCCACCGTCCGCGTACCGACACGTCGGCCTGATCCTGGAGAAGGAAACGCGGCCGTGGGGCCCGTGGCCCTGTGGCGATAAGGTTTGCTGGGTCGTAGTAGTAGTAGCAGCGCCGGCGCGGGGGCCACGTCGGATGCCGCGCGGGCCCCACCCGGGTCGCGCTCCGGCCCCCACGTGCGATTGCCTCTCGCCGCCTCGGTGGCTTCAAATAGAACGTCATCGTGGACGCCGGTGCAACGGTGGCCGTCCGTTCGCGCGCGCGAGAGAGAGAGACCAACCAAGCTCTCGTACGTGCGGCTCTCGATGGACCGCATGCACGATGCGGGTGCGATGCCTCACTCTGGAAAGCACCCAATTTCGTTCTCTTTGGATGAAGACGGTTGCGGTCCATCTGAAGCTGTCGATTCATAACATATTAACATGTGTATTGTTTGAAACCAGTTTAATCAAACTTACAAACTCTGAATGCAACGTGGATTTAGAATCTAGATATACTCTCTCCGTATTTTAATGGATGACGCCGTTGACTTTTTAACTAACGTTTGACCATTCATTTTATTTAAAATTTTTAAGCAGATATAAAAATATTTATATCATACTTAAAGAGTATTTGATGATAAATCAAGTCACAATAAAATAAATAACAATTACATAAATTTTTTGAGTAAGACGAATGGTCAAACGCTGAATAAAAAAATCAACGGCGTCATACATTGAAATATAATATAGAGGTAGTATATTTTATTTCGTGTGGGATATAAGAGTGTCTTACCACATCGACATCAGCCACAAAAGAACAACACTCCCTCCGTCCCATAATATAAGGGATTTTGAGTTTTTGCTTGCAACGTTTGACCACTCGTTTTATTCTTTTTTTCGAAATTATTATTTATTTTATTTGTGACTTACTTTATTATCTATAATACTTTAAGCACACCTTTTTGTTTTTTATATTTGTAAAAAAAAATTGAATAAGACGAGTGGTCAAACGTTGCAAACAAAAACTCAAAATCCCTTATATTGTGGGACGGAGGGAGTACTTCTTTCAATTCGATTTTAGATTTCTGTATTTTAAAACGAAGGGAATAGCTTAAGTAGAAAAGCGACTTGTTAACCGTTTTGAGTTGGGTTTGTTATCATCAGCGGGCTCAAAACCGTACAGCTCGTCTGCTCCCCATACTATTGGTTCATATGCTAATCCTAATCTACTCCTACCACAGTGTAGGGCCCGGCTCTAGGTGGAAAGCTGCAGCGTGCAAGCAAAGGAGAGCGGAGAGCGAGCACGTGCGTTTTACGCACCCCCAGTCTATCCATGGGAAAATCCAGGCTGGCACGGCAGCCGGACACCGGACAGGAGGAAGTATCTCAAAATATCTCGGCCGTCTTTAATCCACGCCACACAGCCGCCATTATTCGGTCGACGCGGACCATCGTTCCACCCACCGCGAGACGATCCCCGCCGTCCAATCTGGTGGGCCGAGGAGAGCGCACGGTCCCGATCCAACGCAATTATTCGGGCCCCACACGCGCGCAGTCCATATGCGCGCTCGCATGCTGCTGCGGCCTTGGGCCACCCCTCCTGCCCGGGTGCGTGATCGTGGGCCCCACCATCGGTGGCAGGTGGGCCACGGCGCTCGGTGCTTCGGATCTTCTGCGCCGAGACACTGTACTTTGTCTCATCACGAGTACACCGTATAATAATACGGTACGTAGTACTCCGTACTAGTGTCGTCGAGTTTTCCCTATCTTTTTAATTTTATTACACATTTAATCCGTCGAGTTAATTTTGTGACACTGTCGTAGAAATATACTGTACCCGTAGTACTCCTACGCATGACGGCGACGCATGCTACTACTACTCCCAAGTCGTGTAGGAGTACTCCAGTATTTATGGGTGGGGCCAGTGTGATGTGACAGCGTATCTTTGGGCACACGATTGGCTGGGCCCCACCATGTCACTTTCTCTCCCGTCCACTACAGCGAATAGTAGGAGTACTGTTCGTTAAAGCTGATGGGTGCAGGAGCCAAAGCTCGAACAAGTAGAGTAGGGACTAGTAGTACTACTACTGCTAGGGTACAGGAGTAGCTGGAACAAGTCAGCTGCGGTGCATATAAATGCAAGTCCAATGTGAGCCCTCTCGTTGTGTTGCTCGTGGCTCATCGCGGCCGGCCTTGATCGCCACCACCGCCGTTGCGTTCATTCGTCTACTACGACTCCGGCGGCCGGCCGGTGGTGCCTTCTTAGGCAGGCGATGGCGGCCGTCGCGCCGCGCGCGCGGCTGGTGGCGGATGCTCCGACGACGGGGGGTCCGGCCGGTGTGGTTCTTGCTCGATCGGCGACGGCGAGTCGTCTCGTGCTTTTTTTTCCGTGTCCCTCGTATTTGGAGTTTGTGATCTGGCTGAAGATGGAAGTTGCTGCTTCCATCCAAGGGGGTGTTTGGGAGAGAGGGGTAGGGCTAAAGTTTACCCCTCTCTCCCAAACACCCCCCAAGTCTTGCCTTTGGCTTTGGGTTTTTTCTTGCACGAGTTTCGTTACTGCTGGGTTGTTAGATTGCTTGGTTTGCATGCCGCAATCCGCAAATGTTTTGCTCCTTGTCCCGATGATCTTTTTTTTTGTCTAATTGGATTGCTGATGAAAAAGCTAATTTCAAGAATGGGCTCGAGGCCTAACTTCTCGGCGCTAATGATGCTAACGCTCACACCCTAACAGTTGAGATGTACTAGAGAGGTTAGAGCCAATAAAACTGACGTTGAGAACCTATCTATAAAAAGGAATTTCTAAAAAGGATCATTTTTTTTTAAAAAGGATGAAAGTTCATGTAATCTGCTCGATTTCATTGTTGCTTTGATATTTTAGATCCTGGATAAACAGTAATGCGGCCCTCTCGTTTAAAAGAAAAAGACAATTTGGACAGAGACATCATGCATTGTTCTCATGATACTGTAATAACTGATGGATTAGTACTACAGTAGTGACCAAGAACAGAACAGTTGCTAACCTCACACCATCATCCCCTAATCCATCTAGTGCTGGGTACAGTTACAATCACTCCGTGGAGTACTGTAACCTGCTGGGGCCCACTTGCTCTGCTCCCAGGCCCACCTGGTGGTGGGCCGTGGGCCCAGTGACCTGCCCACTCTAGCAGGGTATCCAGCGGGGTCAGAGGGGCCCCCAGCGTACTGCAGGAGCGGCATCGGTGTCCGTAATTATCGCAGGCTGGTCGTTGTCGGCGTGAAACGTGTCGACTCGACACCGGTGCTGCAGTGACACACGCTGTGTAGTGGATCGGACTATTGGCCTATGGGAGGCCTTGACCGGGTATAGCCGGTTGGTTCCTGGTCGTGTCAAAACAAAACATCCTTTCCAACCACATCTGAGGTTTACAGGCGCATTAACTCATCTATAATCTTCGAATAAACTAAAAAAAACTGATCTAATCTCACTCACCGAGGTTTTTCAGAAATAATAATAAAAAAGTGTACGACCAGTTCCTAAATTTATTTCATGCGTTATATAAGTTTTTTAACTCTCAATATATTTTTAGGTTTGTGATTTTAGGTTTGTGATTTGTTAAAGAATGTCAATCCAATTCCAAATTGCCACGACACCTCTAGGATACTATGTGGTGACGATGGCGCTAACGTGGCATATTACCTGGATATTTCAACCACATTTTTTTTATTTTTTTCCTTCTCCTCTACCTTCTCCTTTCTTTTGCCATACAAACAGGAAGGAAGAAGAGAGAAAAAGGAATAATAATAATAATAATAATAATAAATGTCATGTGGCATGCGACGTCAGCGCTATGTAAGATCCCGAAGGTGTTGTGGTTATTTTGGACCAGAATGACACACTTAACAAGTTTGGTGATGTAAAAATACATTTTGGGAGTTTAGGTAACTACTCTAGTTAAAAGTAACACAGATGAACAAGTTTAGGTGCTAACCATGCACTTTACTTAAAAAAAAGTTTCTTACGAATGATTCTACCCCTCCAGCTTCAAGTTCTAGACCTTAACACATGTGCTCTTATTTATAACTGATCTTATTACGAGAAATTTCTCTATTTCCTTTGATTCTAATTGGGGCGCCCTTCATATTTATGTGGATGGGTATTAATTTTTAGTGATATATTTCTTGGCTGTTTTGGTTAGAGGTTGAAACAATTTTCAAAGGTATCCATTGAGAAAACCTTGAGTTCAAAACTTCACGATTTTTCTAATTATTTTTCTCAATAGTAGATGATGTGAAACGTTTATAGTAATAACTTCATCAACTCAACATATCGGTTCAGTTTTCATACTAGTATGTGCTTAGAGAAATATACTGTGTGCTGATAGGAATGAATTTATGAGTGTACAGTACGCGCGTGTAAATGAAGGCATGCGTGTTTAAGAAAGAAAAATGGCCTTTTTGCTATTGTCCGTCAGTCCGTGCGATGACATAGAGTAATGTGCGAAGGTCCAGATGTCGGTGACTGCTGACAAAACTGAGATCCACTGAACATGGAGATAACTGGCAATATGGCACCAGTAGTTGATGCTTCAGAGTGCGTGGCGATAAATTCACAACTGTAGCATTTTAATTCACGTGAGGAATATTGACAATGTAGCGGTAGAACAAGGATAAGGTCAAGACCTACTTTTACACGGAGTACACACAATAATTACAAAAATGAAAATGAAGGACACGGCAACATTGTCTGAAATTGCACTCCAGCCCAAAAAGATGCATCCGGCAAAATGCCGGCCATCAGAAAGATGGAAAAGGCTCAAGAAATCTGTGACCGCATAATTCACCGTGTTAGCTGAGGACATTGTTTTCTTCGGCTTCATCTACTTCGCAGGAAGATGAACTCACCAATTTCAAGATTAAAACCTGGTGTCTAAATTTTCATGAGTTCCTGAAAATGAAAATATCAAACAAGCCCGAGTCAATTCCTATGGTTCTGGAGGATTAAAGGATTACAGGATAGCAATGCTGATACTAGTTTCAGACAAGCCATTTATCCTTGGGGCATGCAATTGTGTCCAACATGAAGGAATATCTTGTCTGAAGAAAGACCAATGAAAGGGCCAAATTACCTGTTCCTTCTGCTTTTGGATAGCTTCGATCTTTTTCATGTACTCGTCAGTAACTTTCTGCATAATTTGTACACGATGTCAGTTCATGTTGCATACCTGTATCTAATAGATGAGATTCCGAAAGGACATGGGAACCTCACTAAACCACGTGAAGGAAAGGCAAGGAATCCTTACTTGTAGATCAGCGGACAAATCCTTCACGTTATCTTCAGAAAGTTTCTTTTCCTATGTAAGCATGTGAAAGCAGTTAATTTCACTGCAAAAAAGCGAGGTACAATAGCACCCACAAAATAGTATTATTAACTGAGAGGGTGAACCTTCTCAAGCTTATCGTAAGCTTTGATGGCATCTCTTCTTATGTTCCTTATAGCAACCTGTAAAAGAAGTTAGTCATATTAATAATCGATATTACATAGAATCCACAAGGAGATGAATATGTTATCAGTCAGTGAAAATTTGTGTGTATAAGCTACTCAACAATGAGAAGGCAGCACATAGGCGTCAAAAAAGAAGCAAGCATATTTTCTATAAAGTAAAAGCATCTTCTGAAAACTATCAATGTGCTTCAGCCTTTTGAAGAAATTGGATAAATAACCAACAAAGCAACAATCATATGGTACTCCTGAAATTTGTGCAGCACCAAGAGCAAAGGGTGCATGGCAAACAATTTTTGTGAAAGCCTCTTCCACTACAGCTCATACTATGCTCCACCTTCCTAACTAATACACATAGAAGATGCAGCAGAAATGGACTTGAAGAAGTGCTAAGTATCTGGTCAACTGATGCATCATAAAAAAAATTCAGATATACATTCATTCAGTATTACTAAACTAATATGGCTGTTATGTGCACAGTAATAGCTAATGAGGGCAGGCCACCCGCCATCATCTTGCTGCTGGCGCTGGCAGGGCACTTTACTCGCCAAGGAAGAAATGAGGCTGTTAGATTAGTACAGGGGAAATATATGGAACTAGCTGTTTATAGATTATATATTGCTTAATGAAAACGATCACAATGCCATTATTACAAAAAAGAGGGCTTTCTGAACTGGCAGATGCAAGATAGCAAATCCTTAAACTAGGAAGGTAATTTAATCAATTAGGGAAATAGATATTCCTGCTGAAGAAGACGAAGTCTTCCTCATGTCTTCCCTGGCCAGATGCTACGGTACATCGACTATTGTTCGCACTACATTACTCCATACAAGCAGTACCAGCACCATGCCAAATGCAGGTTAGCAGAGTCAATCAGACCGCTAAAGTGCTGTACTAATCATACTAGTATGGGTGCACAAGAAAAATAATAGGCTGGAAAATTGAGGCATAAAAACATTAAATCACAATAAAAATGTAAAAAGAATGTTTCAGTAAAAAACAGTGAAAGGTGAAGCTTAAGAGTACCTTGCCTTCTTCAGCTAATTTAGCAACAGTTTTTGCCAATTCCTGCCAAAACAGATTGAATCTAAGATGGATAAGAAAGTGGCAGGAATTTTATAATCAATGGAAAACATCTATGAATATTATTGAACCTGTTTGAAAGCTATAGCAGACCGCAATTCAACCAACTACATGTATTATATTAGTACTAAGAGAAGGCAAAAGGGGGCTCTCAAGTCCTAGAAATAAACACATTTTTCGGGGAAAATAGAAAAATTTATGCTGTCGATCATGGTAGGTTTAGATTTAATGGTGTAGATTGATCGCTACGGTTGTATACTAAATAACAATTGTGTTTATGGAAGATAGAAGAAAGTTGTACATCAATTCATCAAATACAATTCAATAATATCACAGCTTACTGGATAATCCATCATAAAGGTCTTTTATGAAATACCCTAGTCTTTTGTGCATGGCATGTCCAAAGCAATTTCTACTTTTCTTGTTTGAGGCAAGACAAATACTCCCACATCAGTAAAGGTGATACCTGGTGATCTCATACATTTTAGAGACCTTATTTTGTATAGAACATCGGCCTTGTTTATGTTAACATACTTGTAAACACAAATTAGGTGTCTATGTGGGTTTGAATGCAAAGTTTTGAAGTTCAAAATACTGTAACTTCAATGAACATAAGGCATTTATTTTTTGTTCTCAGGAACAATACAGCTCTGCTCAGCTAATCCTTAATGTTTTGGATGGCAAGAAAACGCAACGTACAAACTTGCCAAACAAAATTTTCCATATGGAATTATGGACCCAGAATTACCAAGTAACCACACATAATTCACACAGATGAAATTCTAAAGCATTACCTTTCTGCGGTCAGAAGTCAATGGTGGAACAGTGACTCGAATCACTTCTCCATCATTGCTTGGTGTAACCCCCAGATTTGCAGCAACTATTGTTTTCTCAATGAGCTTGAGGCTGCACCGCATGAGTGTCATTGTGTCAACACTATTGATGGAAAACTCAATACCAACACTGAAGTGGGAATAATAAACAGCTTACGAGGATTTGTCATATGGCTGAATAAGGAGAGAAGTTGCATCTGGAGTGTTTATCTGTGCGATGCTCTTCAAGTTCACTGGAGTTCCATAATACTCAACCTGTAACAAAATTCTCACACATAAGGCATAATAGGATGTTCAATTTTCACAATTTTCTGTCCTAAAGAAAATCCTTTGCTCTAGTTTTAGTTACAGAAGGCGATCAAATTATCCAAACAGTCTGCATATGGTATTTGAGCAATAGTTTCATTCCTTGTTTGTGTTTGTTATTAGCCAGCCACAATAAATACCAGCCCAGACATAGGTTCAGTTAAGAAAAGCACACAACAGTAGCATGTGTATGGAATGATAAAGTATGCATTGAGTGTAATGATAAAAGATGTGATCATGCAAGAGTTACTTACAAACAGAAAAAGGAACAAGGCTAAGTCCTCACACCTCAATCCTGTCAAGCATAGCTGGGTTTGCCCGCCCTGTCCTCACAGTATTGAAGTTATTTTGGACTGTTTCAATTGCCTTTTCCATCCTTTCTCTCTGAAGATGCATATCTGCAGCTAGTGAGCCCCCAAGGCACAAAAAAGGAAGGCAAAATACCCATTCAGTGAGAAGATGCATTGCACTTACAGCTTGGTCTTCAATGACAGATTTTTCTGCCTCAATTTCTTCAATAGTGGCATGCCTCAATACTGCTCTGATAACATGATAATCACAAGTTATTAAAGCTTAATGTGGAGGGTCGATCAGTGGGATAAATATTTAAATCCAAAGTAGCTTGCCTCTTGTCCGAGTTTTGAAGAATAAGAGGCCTGCTATAGAAGCGCATTGGTCCAGCACGGAGACTCATGAAGTTTGTGGAGGAGCTTAAAATGTTTGGGCGTTCTGGAACACAACCTGTCAAGCACAACATCCTCTGGTGAGACCATGCATATAGGAATACGCGAGGAGCGCATTTTTGTATTAAGAGGAATAAAAGTTATTTACAGTCAAATACAAAGCAGCATGGGACTGAGACAGGATACAAGCAGGAAATCAAAGGTGTACGTCTCGCGGTCTGTTTTGGCTACAAAATTCCCTCCTAAAGATCAGAGCTGGGATGGCTTGGTTTGCTTGACGCCATAGCGTGGCCTCTGCCGCCATTCCCTTCACGATGTCCACCCAGGTCCTTTGTTGCTGATTGAATATCCGGCCATTTCTTTCTTTCCAAATTGTCCATGCCACGAGCGTGACTACCGTGTCAAAGCCCCGCCGAAGATGCTCTCGAATTCTTATTCGACTGCTGCAGAGCCATTGGTAGAATGATGGTTCATTCACCGGCAGACACTCAGGGTGCCCAATTGCCCTTAACACCCACCACCAAAGTTGTCTGGATTCTGGGCAGCCAACAAGAATGCTAGACAATCCCCATTAGAACGAGTCTTTTAAAGAATGCGTCAAAATCATTAGGGGCTAACGAGTGGCAATTATTTTCTGATGTTTAGTAGTATTTACTAAGTGAAAATATAAACCCCAGCAGCTTTGGGGGGAACACACTGTAAACCCCCACCAAGTTTGAAGCATTTCGTCTTGCTGATATCGTTAAACTTAATCTGGCCATGAAATCCTGAACCAAAGGCATATCCAACTACCAAAACGAGATTGTTCGGTAATGTTAGATGCTATACTATTACAGATACAATCACCGTTGTTCATAGCCACAAAAACCACCTTATTCTGCGAACCGGAGAAACAACGGAAGCATCAAGCCGGTTACGAGTTACGACCGCAGCGAAACGATCAACCCAAACCACAGCAACCAACGAGGCGTCACGCATTTTCCAGGATGGCGATATGCCTCGGCGGCCTCCAGTGGGTTCCAAGGCCAAAGCCTCGCGCGGAGCAGCAGCAGGAGTGAGGAAGGGGGGCGGCCTACCTGGGCGCTGCGGGACGCGCGCGGCGGAGGAGAGCGCGCGCGGCGGGGCGGCCGCCGCCGCGGGGGAGACGGCGTGGAGCGGCGGCATGTACGCGCGCGGCGTCGGCGTCGGCTTCTGTGGCGGAGCGCGGGGGGGTTGCCGCGGAGGGGAGTGGCGGATTGGTGTGGATAAGGAAGCGAGGTTGGGAGGAGAGGGACGAGAAGAGGGGTTTATGCTGTCGGGGACTCACGTGGGCTTGGGCCCAACTGATCAATAATGGGCCGTTTCAAGTTAGCCCAAGTAAGTTGGGCCGAATGTTTTAGCACCGACAAGCATCAGACTCGGTTTCAAACGGATTCACGACCGCACAGATCAGGTCTCTCGTACTCGTTAGACTCGAGTGAGTTGGTTTGGACGCTGGTCAAAAAAAAAAAAAAGTAAACTCTCGAATAAAGAAAAGGAAAAAAAATATAGCTCTAGTGACAGTACTCACTCTAGTTCTATATTAATTGACGTTTTGGATAAGGTTGAGGTTAAACTTTTATAATTTTGACCACCAATAACTTTAAAAATAAAGAAACTAGAAAAACATATATAATTTTGTCTTTCAAAACACTATAATAAAAGTAAACATACATTTATTTATTGTATATATTATAATAGAAAAATAAGGTTAAAGATATATCTTGTAGAGCGTGTCATTGTCCAAAGCGTCAATTAAAATGAAACAAAGGGAGTAGTATTAGTATATCTCGAGCATTAAGGCCCTCTTTATTTAGGCTTAGGCTTATTGGCCTAGACTTTTAAGTCAGCTTATTGGCTTATATGATTTATAAGCCGGTGGATTTAATGTCCTAAGTTTAGTAGTTGAGTCATATATCTACCTCACATAAACCAAAAAAACTTCTCTAACCTAACTTTTGGCTTAATAGTGTTAGAGTGGCTTATGGCTTTAAAAAAGCCAAACGGAAAAGCTGCTTGTTTGTTTAGGTTTAGACTTTTCGACTTATAAGTTGGCTTATAACCCTAAACAAAGAGGGCCTAAATCCAATCCGACAAACCAAAGTAGTACTCCCTCTGTCCCAAAATAAGTGCAGTTTTGCACTATTCATGTTCAACGTTTGACCGTCCGTCTTATTTGAAATTTTTTTATGATTAGTATTTTTATTGCTATTAGATGATAAAACATGAATAGTACTTTATGTGTGACTAAATGTTTTTAATTTTTTCACAAATTTTTCAAATAAGACGGACGGTCAAACGTTGAACGTGAATAGTGTAAAACTGCACTTATTTTGGGACGGAGGTAGTAGAGTACAAAAATCTTTGCTGGAACAAAGAGCGAGAGATCCCGTATGCTGTACGTTGTCAACGGAGTAAGGATCACGCCTCAGCTACAGGCCATACTGCGCCAACATCACAAGTTCACAACCGAGGCCCGAGGGCAATCTCGGCATTCGCACAACCGATTCAACGCTTGCAAGCGGCAACAAACAGCCGACGCCCCCACACCGCCACACCACACGCAGTCGGCGCCGCGATGATAAAAGGCGAGAGAAATTTACCCACGAGTCGCTCGCGCGGTGACTGACACACCGTGGCGATGACACACGCCGAAAGGAAAGCTTGGCCGCGGCGCGGGGGCATTTTCGGGAGGAGACACGACCACGACCCCACGAGGGGATCGAAAAGTTGCGGAGCTTTTATTTAACCGGCCGGTTTGTGCCACTCTCGCCACTGTCCTAACCTGCACTTCGCTCTCTACTCCTCTCGCTCTCGGTCATGGGTGGTGGTGCGGCGGCGAGCAGGGTGTCGTCGGCCATGGCCGTGGCGGTGGCGGCGGCGGCGGCGTTGGTGGTGATGTGGGCGGGGACGGCGACGGCGGCGGCGGCCGTGTACGAGGTGGGCGACAAGACCGGGTGGACCATCATGGGCAGCCCCAACTACACAGCCTGGGCCGCCTCCAAGAAGTTCCATCTCGGCGACACCGTCGGTACGTACGTTTCGTGGCGAGTTTATCCCTCTCGCTCACGCGTTCTCCGCTCCTCCTGCTGCATTCCGGCGTTTTATCTCCTCAGAAACATTGGTGCGAACGACACACGTTTGTAGTTTTGTTGCTTGAACATGAATCTTGCCATGTGCAAGACTGCAAGTGCAAGTTCGTTGTTGAGACAAAATCTAGTAAGTAGTAGCCTTTTATCAGACGAATCAGTCACAGAGAAGAAGGGAAAAGAAAAGCTTCAGTAAAAACCCGGTCGCTGTAACCATGTTACGTACTGTAGCGTCCACATGGTGCCTGCCCGCTGCCCGGGCACCCGGCTGGCTAACAGTAACTCTTCACGGAGTTCTTGCTCGATCCCCTGCGAGTGGAAGCCACACAAGTAACTGTACACGGGAGTATTCCACCGCTATATCATGAGTACTTGTGACCTGTCTAGAAACTGGAAGAGGTCCCGAGCTCCACTTCGCAGCAATTAGCGCCATTCAACTCCAAAGTCTTGTGCGGCGTAGAAGGCGCTGGAGTGTTGGTCATGTTGGGTCATCCACCTGTCTCGACGTCGCCCTCCGCTAAATGCCTCGAATATGGTTGACGCAGTGACGTCCACTATACAGCACTGCGTATAGCCGGCATAGCCGGCTGGTGTGATACCCGTGCTCACACTGTCACACACGACTACACGAGCGGTGCGTGCGGTGCGGCGAAAGTCTCATTCACTGCCCGGCAATAGATTTCTTGGCGTGCAGAACAAATTTGGTGTGTGTAGCCAGTGCTCTGCTCATGTGATGCTAGTAGGTTCTCTAATCTCTACAGAGTACGAACTGCAGGACAGATCCCGATCCTGTAACGGGGTACTGTGTTCTCTATACACTACGGATGTGTTTAATTACACGCTAAAAATAGAAGTTTGATTGAAATTGAAACGATGGGACGTAAAAATTGAAAGTTTGTGTGGATAAAAAAAATTGATGTGACGTTTTTGGATTTTAAAGTTTGGGAACTAAACTCGGCCTACTTTAACGCGCCCACAGTCCGGCTGGACTGCAGATCAGTACTCCGTGTAGAGCAGATCGGTACGTGTAACTGCGGCGGGACAGTGTCCTGTGACTGTGCCATATCGTCAGAGTAGTGGGATATCGCCAGGACGCGACCATCCGTTAGCCAGTGGTCCGCCGCGCCTAGCTGGGCAGCCAGCCATGTGTCAGGCCTGGCGGCCGGCTACATGCGTGGCTGGCTTGCCTAGTTGCCTCGCGCTTTTCTCCGGTGCGCCGGTGTGTTGTGTAGACTGTAGTGGTGGGGGGGGGGGGGGGGGGGACGGGGGACTTCGGTGCAGCACGCACACGGCACACGGCACCAGCTGGTGGCCCTCACCGCCTGCACGCGCCGCGCGCCGCTGGCCGCAGCGCTAGTCGCCTTCTCTCCCTCGGTGCGCGCGTGGGGCGCGGCGCGGCGGCTTGTGGATGGCGCCGCGGGATCCGTTGGCCTTTACCGGCCTTTTCGCCGGGCGAGCCGGATCGGTGTTTGCCTGGCCTGCACGGCCGCACCACACCCGGTGCGTGTGCGTGTTCCACGCGCATCTGTCGTTCTGGCGTAGCGGCGCGCCGACACGCAGGCACGCGGTTGGTGTGGTAAGCGAGAGTACTCCGTGTTTTGGCATGAATCCAAACAGGTCTATCTGGATACCTGACGTCAGATAGCGCTGGCCTTCTTTGTGTTTCTTCTCCACCAAAGAACATGCTGGTTTCGGAAAGAGCGCGCACTACCAGATGAGTACTTTCCCTTCTCACCAAGGATCTGTATGCCTGCGTGTGAGTTGGAGCGTGAAGGCACGGCCAAATTAGGGCATGTTTAGATCCATTTGGAATGGCAAATGACAAATGGCAAAAGTTTTGATGGCAAAAGTTTTAGCATTGCAAAAGTACTAGTTGGTGTTTAGATGCATGTTAAAGTTTTTCCATTCTAGCACTAAAGTGAGAGAGAGAAAGAGAGAGGGAGTGGTCCCAAAGCACTTTTTGGCACAATTTGCTACTATGGACTAGCAAATGCCAAATGCCAAATTGCCAACTTTTGCTACTAGTGTTTAAATTCAAAATGGCAAAAAGTGCTATAAAATGGTAAAACTTTTGCCATTTTGGAGGATCTAAACAGGGCCTTAGGCTGTGTTTAGATCCAAAATTTGGATCCAAACTTCAGTCCTTTTCCATCACATCAACCTGTCATACACACACAACTTTTCAGTCACATCATCTTCAATTTCAACCAAAATCCAAACTTCCCCCTCAACTAAACACAGCCTTAGTCATTTGTCACTTTGTCAGCCATAACACTTGTTTTTCTTTTTAAGCTCTAGCGCTCCTTGTGAGTTGTGAGTACTTTGTTGCTCAATTATTCCTGTAAGGATTAGCTTTTCTTGCTTTAAGGAAAGGCGTTTTATTCTTTTGCACAATTAGACATGTGTGCCGACTATTTTGAAGGCACTTGTTCTTTAGCTGAGATTAAAAAAAGAGGGCACCAAAGGCACTTTTTTTCAGTTGCCTCTGCTGAAGAAAGTTAATGTTTGTTCTTTGCATTGAATTAAATGATCAAATCCTAATCAACCACAACTTTATAGGAGTATATTTCATGCTCTCAGTTGCTATCTGTTCCACAGCTTGTCAAAATTATGTTGGACCCTATGGCCAACACACCGATGCATGCGCTCTCATTGAATCATTGTTTTCTGTTGAGCAATCTCATGGTTGGTTGGTAGGCTTCCTTGGTGGGCCGAAAAGATGACGGCACGGATGCCATCTTTTGGAACTTGGAAGCATAGAGTAATCAAAGAACCACAAATGCATATAGCTCGTCCAGAAAGAGGGTCTATGATTATCGCTGTTCTATTATGATAGGGTTGCCAAACTGCCATTTTGCAATGTGGACACCTGATTGGGTTTGGCCCATGAGCTGGAAAGTTGGCATTGCGATCATATCATTTGTTGCCCTGGAGAGATGCCATCCGATCAGTCAAAGTAGCTAGCTCTAGGATTTTCACATGTTTAGCTCTATTTTGGTGGTTCTAGATTTATAGTATCTTTGAGATAGTTACGCGTGGTGCCGTGGGTTTCTTTTGTCAAACCAATGCTGTTATTGTTTTTATCGTTATGTATAACAGCATATATTCCCAATCACATCTAACCAAGTATAGTCGTCACCAGTCAGAGTCATTAGTAAGGATACTAGACACTAGAGAGTGGATTTTTAGGAGTGGAATAGATTAAGAAATATAACTAACTGAACATGATAGAGCTTTTAGTAGTGACTCTCAAGCATGTCATATCTGGTGATTGCGATCGAGTTAGCTGGTAGGATCCTTCCAGATATGAACTGCACTAGGTTCATCTTGTTCCACAACAACCAAAAGTAGTACAAAAAATAAAAACATCACTTTTTTGCACAAATGACCATCTGTTTCATCATGCTGATGCATGATACTAGTATGATCTAGCTCTGTTTTTACAAAGCTTCATGACGTACCCCAGTCTTACTCTTGGTCATATTTCTTTTTACAGAGAAATAGAGGAAGCCATACAAGGATTTAGTCAGGCCTATTCATACACTATCTAAACAAGGAAGTTAGATTCGCCCCTTTCGAGGGGCATTCCGATTTCGCTAGTATCATCATTTTTGCCGCACGAATCCAGATTGAGATTTAGGAAAGGAAGTTAACTAAGTTTTCGAATCACTGACTCAGGCCCATTGTCGAATCCTACTCAGGAATTGTCGAATTATACTCAGCCGAAAAAGAGGTACTTATTTATGGCGGAACGGGCCAATCTGGTCTTTCATAATAAAGAGATAGATGGAACTGCTATGAACGACTTATTAGCAGATTAATATATCATTTCGGAATGGGATATACATCCCATATACTGGATCAAATAAAAACGTTAGGCTTCCATCAAGCCACTACTAAATCGATTTCATTAGGAATCGAGGATCTTTTAACAATACCCTCTAAGGGATGGTTAGTCCAAGATGCGGAACAACAGAGTTTTCATGGTTTTTGTATTGAACTCAAAAGAACTTTGATCTCTCTCGTGTTTTGCTGAATTGACTGACTATTTTTTGCCTTCTCTTGTCTGAAAAAAAAAAAGCCGTGCAGTCTTCACGTACAACAAGCAGTTCCACAACGTGATGGCGGTGAGCAAGTCGGACTACAAGAACTGCGACACGAGCAAGCCGATCGCCACCTGGTCGACGGGCAACGACTCGGTGGTCCTCAACGCCACGGGCCACCACTACTTCCTCTGCGGCTTCCCGGGCCACTGCGGCATCGGCCAGAAGGTGGACATCCGCGTCGCCGCCTCCGGCCACTCCTCTGCTGCCCCTTCCATGGCGCCCGCCCCGGCCTCCGGCTCCGAGGCACCCGTCGCCCCCGGCGGCGGCGGCGGCGGCTCGTCCGGCCACGCCGCCGCCGCCGCCCCGTCGCCGCACGGCAACGCCGCCGTTGGCCGCTCCGTCTTCACGGCCATCGCCGTGTCCGTGCTCTCCGTCGCCGCCGCTGGCCTGAAGTTGATCTAGTTGGGGGGTTGGGGGGGGGGGGTGGGGTTAGGATGGCGCGCGCCCTGTGAATTGTGAGCTTTTGCGTTTGGAGCTGTGTTCATCTTCTCTTTTGCCCCCCTCCTTTCGTGTCGTAATTAATTAAACTAGTATGATCCTGTGGAATTGCTGCAATTTGAGGATCTCTGCCGGTTGTCACCTCATGTTTTGGACTTTGGAATTGTGGGTTTCATCTCAGATTAGATCAATCGATTGAACAATCGTATGCTGCTACAACACGTGCCTGTAACAGTTTTCAGTTTATCGTAGTACACCACACTCAATACACATGCTTACCATATTCATATAAACACCTTCAAGAATAGTATATTTTAAGATTCACAAAGTTATTATAGGTGTCTCCATTTTTCATGCATTACTAAGATTTACGAAATTATCATAAGTGTCTTGTTGTCGATACGTTGTTTATCATCAAAACAATAATCAGTCATAAATATAAACGCACATGTTATGTTAAGTCTAGAACTCGAACTACTTTCATCCAAGAAACTTATGTTAAGTCTAGAACTCGAGCTACTTTCATCCAAGAAACCTAACCAGTGAGATTAAACTCATTTTGCTTTTGTTAACTTTTGGTCTCAAACTAAACTTATCCTAATCCATTGGACCATGGCTCCGAGGAGTTATTAATCTATTTGGATAACAGCATGTATGGCAGATCAAGCCGTACGAGTCTGAATATGATGTAGGAGTACTCCAAAATAATCATCGCGGGACACAATTATTGAAGGCGTCAGTACGATCAACAATTTTCAGAGAAAAAGCTGCAGATAAAATGCGGGGCGGCGTTTGGTCCACAATGCAAAGCTGCCAAGACTGCCATGTCAGTATGTCACTAGCGATCAACTTAGGGGCTGTTCACTTTGGTGCCATTTTCAACCTTACCAAATTTTAGTAAAGTTGCCAAAAAAGTGGCTACATTTAGTTTGCTGCCAAATTTTAATAACTATATAAGAAATCCTGCCAAAATTTTGGTAAAGTTTTTTTTGGCAGCAAAGTGAGCAGACCCTTACTTGAACTTGAACTGACAGGTGTAATGCCCCCCGACCTGTCCGTCAGGCCGGCCTGCACCATATAACAAGGACTCCTATGCTCAGTGACCTGATCTGGCTATGTTTGGACCTGTTCACTTTGATGCCAAAAAAAATCTTACCAAATTTTAGCATTGCCGAAATTTTGGCAACTATACCAAAATTTTGGCAACTTACCAAAATTTTGGCAAGATTTCTTATATAGTTACCAAAATTTGGCAGCAAACTAAATATAGCCATTTTTTTGGCAACTTTACCAAAATTTGGTAAGGTTGGAAATGGCATCAAAGTGAACAGGCCCTTTGTTTGTCCCCTATGCTCAGGCCCTGTTTAGATGGGACTAGAACTTTTAAGTCCCTATCACATCGGATGTTTGAATATTAATTATAAATATTAAACGTAGACTATTAATAAAACCCATCCATAATCTTGAACTAATTCGCGAGACGAATCTATTGAGCCTAACTAATCCATGATTAGCCTATGTGACGCTACAGTAAACATTCTCTAATTATGGATTAATTAGGCTTAAAAAAATTGTCTCGTGAATTAGCTTTTATTTATGTAATTAGTTTTGTAAGTAGTCTATATTTAATACTCTAAATTAGTGTCTAAAGACAGGGACTAAAGTTAAGTCCCTGGATCCAAACACCACCTCAGTTGCTCGATATAACAAGGACTCATACAATGTACTAACATGTGTACTTACAGTAGCCGAGTAGCCTAACATCTGAATGCAACTTTGCCGAACACCTGAACATTTTCTTCAGAGTAGCTGGGTGTCATGGAGCTCTTACTTCTTGCACCAGTAAATTGTACTACAGTATTTACTACTAACAAATTCAGATGGATTAGCTCGAAGTTTCATTCAGAAGGAGCAACCTGTTAAACTTGGGCAGTGACAAGAGTGATTGTCCATTTGTCCTTACCTTCTCTGACAGAATCCATGATGCAGAAGTTATCTCAAGAGAGAACAGTTTACTTGATTCACGTCTTCGCCACTTCAGCTCCAGAGCTCCTAGCCTGATCTCTTCGAGAACCGGGCATTTTAGTTTCAGAAAAGGCCGTCAGATATCACGGGCGTCGTGCGATGTGCTCCTGGAGTTTATTTGGTCCACATGATAAAAGACAGTGTTGTCATGGAGTTAACAACGAACCGGTGTTATTTTGTCTCGTTTGCTACAAACATGTTAGATTGTTTGCTGTTTGGGAGTTCCTTGCGGAAGTGTCTGCATTTCAGAGTCCCCCCATCATCAGGACACCTCCCCCTTTACCATTTACTCCTCCGGCAAGGATTGCAGAGATTTTGCAGCTATATGTGTATCACACCTCAACAACTAGAATGCGAGATTTTTTGCTCAAAACTAGAAGACTAATACGTCTGAAGAAACATCTTACTACAAAAGTTACGTAAAACTCCGACGCTCTAGACACGCCTAACAGCAGCGAGATTCACCTGCACCATAGAGATGCATTTGATAGGATAATGGTAAAAAGTGTACGGTTTCAACTCTGGTGTCTCGTGATCAATTTCCAATATATATGTTCACAATGTTTTCTTAAAAAAAAAGTTTGGAGGGATGTCTCTTTATCCTAATCTTGTTTTTTTCCCCACCTCCACCTACACCGTGATAAGGACCTATCTCTTTGTAAAATCATGAAATTTGGCTAGCTTGGTCTTTAGCCGGTCTAGCAAAAATAAGAACCATTTTTTTCACCTGCACCATGATAAGGACCTATCTCTTTGTAAATAATCCTAATCTTAATGAAATTTGGCTAGCTTGGTCTTTAGCCGGTCTAGCAAAAATAAGAACCATTGTTAGGATTTGTGTATAAAAATTGATATATTTTAAGATAGATAGTACATTTAAACCAAAAATACAACCCATAATTTTAACGCTATGTCATGTACTTCCTCCGTTTCACAATGTAAGACATTTTAGCATTGCTCATATACATATAGATGTTAATGAATTTAAACACATAGTCTATATGTATATGAGCAATGCTATAAAGTATTACATTATGAAACGGAGGGAGTAGAAAAAACTTGATATATCAAGTGAGCTAATAAGAAGAGAAGGAAGACTTAGATCACACGCAAATCCTACCTCGTGCGCTTAGTACAAGACATGATGAAATAGGGATATCATTAAATTAGCCTAATCCTCCTTTCATATTATAAACCGCTTAACATTTTTTCTAGTCAAACTACCAAATTTATAGAAAAAATTAGAACATTTTGTAACACCAAATTAGTTTCATTAAATTTAACATTGAATATATTTTGATAGTATGTTTGTTTTGTGTTGAAAATACTACTACATTTTTTCTATAAACTTGATCAAACTTAAAAAAGTTTGATTAGGAAAAAAGTCAAACAACTTGTAATATGAAACGGAAAGAGTATTAATTAGGACAATTGAGTCTTGTTTATGTAAATACACACGTACCCTACCTATAGATGGTTGAAATTTTACATTTGGCCGTCTTTAAAACTTATTTGAAGAATGAATCTCGCAAAAAAAAATTAAAAAGATGCCAACCTTATTGTTGTCATCTTTGGTACTGAAGTACAACTTAGCGTTGTATACTTGGCGCTGGGAACATTGCTATATGGTCACGCAGTTCATATCACTAGGGGCTCAGGCCTTGTTCTTTTCTCTAACAAAAGTTGGATGAAAATTTAGATATTCATGGCACGCTTTTTAAACTGCTAAACGGTATGTTTCGTACGAAAACTTTCTATATGAAAGTTGCTGTAAAATATCAGATAAATCTATTTTTCAAGTTTGTAATAATTAAAACTCAATTAATCACACGCTAATACAACCTCGTTTTACGTAAAACACTTTATCTTCATCTACAACACAAAAAAACACCACCTCAGTGCCATGTTTAAGTAAACAATAGAGTTATTGTGGTGTGGTAGTGTGGTGTCCACCCTTCTCTGCTTGAGGGTGCCATGTTTGACTCGGGAAGCAATAAAGACTTAATATATTCATTATTCTTTACTACATTCGTTCTAAATTAGTGGTCGCTTTGACTTTTTACTTACAATGTTTGACCATTTGTCTTATTTGAAAAATTAGTGCAAATACAAAAAATGATAAGTCATACTTAAAATATTTTTTAATAAAGCGAGTTACAAACAAAATAAATAATAGTTTCATAATTTTTTTGAATAAGACGAATGATCAAACATTACAAACAAAAACTCAAAGCGACAAGTATTTTGGGATGGAGTTAGTACTTTTTTTTAACGCAAGAAGGTAGAGCGCTCTACCTTATAGTCATTTCATTTATAGAAATGAGGTTTAGGGTTACAAGATTATTAGTTAAGAGAGAGGTAGGGAGAAGAAGGAATAAAAAAGAGTGAAGTGGAAAAAGAGTTATAGAGGTTAAGGAAGAAAGAAAAAAACGGGGGAAAAGAAAGAATTTACAGAAGCATAAACATTAGGCTGTTGTTTAGGACAGTCTTTCACACCATGATCGAATTTTGTGTCTAGTGTCTTCATTACTTCGTACACACCAGAGATTTAGGGAATCACAGATCTGTTGCATGATACCCTGGAGATTGTCCATCTGTCTGTCAAAAATCATGTTGTTGCGTGATTTCCACAGAGAGTAAGCGCAGACTGCAAATCAGATTGGTATCACCCTTTGTGTTGTTTCCTGTCAATGGCTGCTTGGATGAAATCAGAGATTGTTTCTGCTTTGTTTGCCAGATGCAAGAGTCCTAGTTTTCTCCAGAGATTGTCGGTATTTTTGCATCTTAGGATGATGTGATCAGCTGTCTCAAGAGCAAGGCAAACAGGGCAGTGGGGGTCATCATTCCACTTTTTGCTGACCATATTGGCTTCAGTATTTAACCTATCCTTGAAAACCAGCCATAAGAATGCCAGCTGAGGCTGTGTTTACTGTTTAGTTCAGCGTAAAATTTGGATTTTGGTTGAAATTGGAGATGATGTGACTGAAAAGTTGTGTGTGTATGACAGGTTGATGTGATGAAAAATGACTGAAGTTTGGATCCAAACTTTGGGTCTAAACACAGCCTGAATTTATATGGGTCTACACGATACCACAGAATTGCAGAGTTAGTACTTTTTAAGTAGCTTTCCCTCTTAGAGACGTGGATGCTCCAACAGTTGAACCAGCGACGCTGGTATGGCATGAAGGTCATCTAACCACTAGGCTACTTGTCATATTGCAGGCAATGAAGCACATTAGATTGCTCACACTGAATCATGCCGACCTGGATTCTGTGCCAGTACGTTAGAGCTGTTAGGGCCAGAGTACATAATGCTGAAGTACACTTTAGCGTGAGGGTTCATTTTTTTTCGTTGAAGAATGTCAAAATTTCACACCATGTTTAGTTGTAAATTTTTTTTTTCAAACTTTCAATTTTTCCATCACATCAAAACTTTCCTACACACATAAATTTCCAACTTTTTCATCAGATCGTTCCAATTTTAACGTGAACTAAACACACCTAGTTAAGACGGTGTCTTCGCACTAGAACCATAGTAGTAATTTCTCTGTTTCACAATGTAAAACTTTCTAATATTATCCATATTTATATATCTAGATGAATATACTAGAAAGTCTTGCTATATATGAAAATAAAATGGAGGGAGCGGTACGTAGCTGTTGACTTGAGTACACTTGACTTGGGCTTTGAACAAAATGTTGCCCCGATGTCGCTGTGGCTCATCCGGCCCAAGCCCATTTCCCCACCCCTCTCCGCCGCGAAGACACCGTCGTGCTCGTGCCAAGCCAACTCCTCGTCTTCGGCTCTTCGCCCGCCTGGTGCCCGCGCGGACTCGGTCTCGGTCAGTCCAGTCCACGCCCGCGGCGGCGAGTCGGCGGCCGCGATGGACTCGAGGCCCCGGGAAGCCCCTGCCCCCGCCGAGCCTTCCGGCGGCGCGGCCCCGGCTGCGGCGAACGGCGAGGTGGAGATCACGAAGCCCCGCAACGACAAGCGCGGGTACCGCCGCGTCGTGCTCCCCAACGCCCTCGAGTGCCTCGTCATCAGCGACCCCGACACCGATAAGGTCTTCCTGCTTCGCTCGCTCCTTCGATCGGGATGGGCCGCCGGGGTTTGGTATCTCTCTGGTTTTTTGGCTTGAACCCCGACTTGTTTGTTTGCTTGCAGGCGGCGGCGTCGATGAACGTCTCGGTAGGCTACTTCTGCGACCCCGAGGGGCTCCCTGGGCTTGCACACTTCCTTGGTGAGCTTCCTGTTTTGACTTGTTGCATAAAACGTGAGAAATTGGTAATCGTGGATGTGTGATTTTAGTTGTAGTTAGCTGCTTCCCTTAAATGGTTATGAATATACAGGATGTTGGTGACGATAATCTTAGTGCAGTCAGGCCTTGGTGCTTAATACCCTTGATCTCTCTATCATCTCTATGCACTTATGTTGCGTCAGGCCTGCTTAGGCTACCACTACATTCTGCGGTTTTTACAAGAAGGTTGTTTTAGGCTGTGCACTGTGGCTGGCACTGTTCTAATACGTGTATGCGCTTTTAGTTGTTTAATTGCTGAATTGGTCATGTAAAGAGGAAGAAGGTCGAAATTTGGATATCTATATTTTTCTCAGAGCCCATCAAGTAAAAAATGTGCAAGTAAAAAATACTTCTAAGTCCACAGACAGCAGCATGCTTCTTTTTCATTTTTGGGTAACATCAATAGCTGTAAAAATACATGCAACACATCTCAAAATAAATTTTCCAAATCATACTGAGTATCTCTGGATGAGAAGATTAAAACAAATATAGCATGGCCAGGAAAACACACGAATGGCTGAATCACATGTACAACATCAATTCAACACTACTATCTCCTGATAGGTGCTGTCACAATATCTAGCTAATAAGCGGCCCATTCCTTGAAAAGTTTATGAGTTGCATAATAACGTTTGGAACTAACCATTTACTTGATAAATCTGCAAAGATGTCAAAGTCCATATGTGAAAGGGCATTAAGAGAAAAAAAACAGTTGGGCCTTAAAATGACTTATGTGAAATTCACATGCCATTAAAGGATCAAAGGTACCAGCAATGCCATTTGTGACTGAAAACTGTTATACTAATACTGTAATACATTATAAATGCTAATGTGGGTTCATTATATTGCCTCTGTACTGAAATGGATGACGTATATTATTAGAAAGTTCATTTCAGCACCAGAGTGCTTTGGACATCTTATTTGTATACTTGAGGTGATTATAAAAATATAGTGTGGCAATGCCATCCGATTAGAAAATTAATTTACTTACCAGTCATTCTAACTTTTTTTCTCGGGCAGGCCAAGTATTGTTTCAAGCATCTTATTTGGATACTTAAGGTGAACAATAGAAATATAATGTTCCACTGTTATCCAATCAGAAAATTAATTTACTTACTAGTCATTGTAACTATTTTTTTCTCGGTCAGGTAAAGTAAGCACAACTTTCTTGCGTGTCATGCTATCACTGTGCTTAGTCTATGTTTAATTTGGCTGTTGTATATTGCTCTCTTTATAATTTCTAGTGTGTCCCTTTAAAGAGTATTAATTCATAAAGAACCACTCTTCAAACCTCATTGTTTTTTTTTTAAATCTTGGTTGGGTTGTAGTATTGCATGTGAAAAGCTTCATGGCACATGTATTGCAGTAATAACATGTGTGTAGCTCTGTATTGTTTGATTCCCTTATGCCTGGATCCTCTTTTACAGAGCATATGCTTTTCTATGCTAGCGAGAAATATCCTATAGAAGACAGTTACTCAAAGTATATTGCAGAGGTATGTATTTTGCCAGGCAGATCTACTTACCTATTCTGTTAATTTAAAAAGTATCTTTCTAACTGATCTTGATATTACTGTGGTCAATAATTTGTTTGATCGAACTTAAATTGATCTCAAAACTTAGTGAAAATGCTTGAGAACAATTTGTTCAGGAGAGTGTCAACTGAACTTCAGCATACTGTAGGCTTTGCAAAATGTCTAGTCCACGCCCAATTTACTTTGGCAATGTCTAGAGACTTGCACCACATTTTGGAGGTACTTGGCTAGTGCCGTTAGAGTGTTTCAGTATTTGTAAAGCTAATCTAGTTTATGTTTGATCATGGGTTGCTGCCCTTTTTTCCCTAGATTACCAGTTGGTCGCAATATAATAGACACGTGTACTTGTTAGTGAACTCATATATTTGATGTTGCAAGTCTGTTGCGGCGCACCAGTGCTTTCGGTGGCAGAGTGAGTGGTCGAACACTAATGTGCACGAGTGGCTTAATCCAGATGGGACCAATTTGAAGCTTAATAAGTAAAATGCCTTAAATACAATTACTTATCATATAGACTGTACAATCATTGGGTGGGCCAACGTTGGCCGCAATGAAGCTTTGTCCCTTGCAGTGCTTGAAGCCTTGAACCATGATTTCCCTCCCACATGTTATGCTGCTACTGGAATTCTGCAAGCAGAGATTGATCCCTTTAATTATTAACTGTGCTAATTAGAAAACCATCTGTCTAGCCTCTGATGCAGTTGGTAGGAGCCATAATTATTCATAAATTTGTATAAATAATATCATGGTCTTTATGTTTTTCCTCTATGTTTGAATCATCAATTGTGTGATATGGGTTTTCTTTTAGCATGGTGGTTCAAGGAACGCCTTCACATCTCGTGAACACACAAACTTTTTTTTTGATGTGAACAATGATTGCCTGGATGATGCTTTGGATAGGTAACTTCTACTTCTTTCTTTCCTTACACCTTTGTTTTTTACTTTGCAACTCTGTTTCATTTCCTTCACATTTGTCGTTTTAGGTTTGCACAATTTTTCATAAATCCACTGATGTCACCTGATGCAATTCTTAGGGAAGTTAATGCTGTTGACTCTGGTATACATTGCTTTCTCTCTTATCTGGAACTGCCATTTTTGCTGAGAGAATTAACTTCTAATCTCTTTCTTTTCTTTCTTTGTCTGCAGAAAACCAGAAAAACTTACTGACAGATATTTTGCGAATGAGTCAGGTACCTTTATGTCCAAAAAACATCATTAATCTTTTCTGTTATAGCTGAATAGTAATATGGTATCATATTCATATCATATTTTGATCTATTTTATTGTTTTCATTTATTTTACCATGTTCTTTCATGCTATAATTCCATTGTCTATATTCTTTTGGTTCAGCTCCAGAAACATATTTGCTTGGAGAGCCATCCATATCACAAGTTTAGCACTGGTGTGTGTTATAGTCATAATTTCATTTTTTTTAGTGTCTGATTCTATATACCACAATTGGATGTTGCAACTATACGGCATGCTTGGTACCAAGGTGTCCAAGTTTCTACCTTCATTTTATAGTCACAACTCACTACTAACAAATACTGCATGTTGAAGTTATTTCAAGAATACGCTTTGTAATGCTGCAAAAAATATCCATGCCATATGAACTTATGATTCTAAATTTTTAGCTAGTTGAATCATGGATGGAAAAAAAAACATACTGTTCTTCCAAGAAAAAAATAAGACTGTGTGTGTAAACTGGACAAGCCCATTTCTGTTATGGTATTCTCAATCTACATGATGGATTCACTTCTTTTGTGGTCTATTCTATCACCCAAGGCTTGCGCACACCTTTTCTTGAAGATCTGTTGTATTGCATGTGGGCCATGAGGATCATTTGATTAAAAAAATGCTTTCACAAATGAAACAGTAGCATATGAAGGACACAGAAACACATGGAATTGTGCTCTTGTGGGACAAATGTTTCATTTTCCCCCTTCACATTTGAATTGGCCCATGCAACCAGGCTAATACAACTTGGCATCTACCTAGCCTGTCACAACACCTTACATATCCCTTCTTTGATTTGGTGGTGAGGCGTGGTGTTTATTGGATTTGGTGAAAATTGTGGTAGCTAGCTCTTAAGATCAGGGGAATGCACTGAGTAGTGCGTTCACAAAAAGTTATTTTTGAGGGGAAGCGCGTTCTTGGGAGTGCGCTCCGGTGCATAACCAACCTCGACAACCTTGTGTCAATGATATTGTTTCTTGTACCTTTTTGTCCTCAATCTTAATAACAATGGCCATCCCAACAACAATTTGAACACCAAGTACTTTGGTATTTCTTATACTTTGAAAATAATTTATGCCTGCCCTATGATTTTACTTTACTTATTGACCATATGAAAATGATTTCTGCAGATTTCCCATTGTAACTTGAAAATACTTCAATAATAATATTTTTTTTACAAGAACTTGTAAGTTTGTACTAAGAATTTTATGTTATGTACTAGTATGAAAAGCCATTGGTCAAAGGTGTAAATTGGAGACTATGTTGAACAGTTGAAGCATAACAAACTTATTGCTCCTGGACAGGGAATATTTACACCTTAAAACCATTTTAGATGTTTTCTCTGAAATCAAAATCTATGGAAGTTTTAACTTGAATGAAATACGGGACGATAGGCCTGATTGGAACTGCTGGATGCGGCTGCACAGCCGCAACAAAGAGCTATGCTGGCTACTGTTTCTGTATAGAAGCCGCAGCGGCAGCCGGCAAGCAGTTACGAGCAGGCCCTATGTTTACATGCTTCAAAGGTTGAACAATTATTTTTTTCACTAATATTCTGATCATCTATTGTTTTAGGAAATCGGAACACTTTACTGGTTAATCCAAATAAGGAAGGATTGGACATATTGGAAGAGCTTATTACATTTTATAGTTCACACTATTCAGCCAACTTGATGCAACTTGTTGTGTATGGGAAAGGTTTTTTCTTTATCAAACTGGTTACACCATTCTTTTCATTTCTGTACAAATTCTTCAATTTTTATATATTTTTTCCTTATATCTGTTGTGTAACTTGTGTATGCAGAGAGTCTTGACAACCTTCAAACCCTTGTTGAAAATAAGTTCTCTGATGTCAGGAATACTGGAAGGAAACGGTTTTCCTTTTATGGTCATCCATGTTCAAGTGAACATCTCCAGGTTGATATTTTCCATTTGCTAAAGATAGGTTCAAAAGTCAAGTGCACCACTCGGTGATTTTTTCTGAAATGTAAGGTTACTTGGACATGTTTAATTATGGAAATTGATGACTTGCAGGTCCTAGTTAAAGCAGTTCCCATAAAACAAGGCCACACGTTGAGAATACTGTGGCCAATCACCCCAAATATCCAGCATTATAAGGAAGGTCCTTGCAAGTATGTGAGTCATTTAGTTGGCCATGAAGGAAAGGGGTCTCTGTTTTATGTACTAAAAAAATTAGGTAAATTCTATATGAGAAGTTTAACTTCTTTTCTGGTGGGTCGGTTTGGGGCTTTTTGGCTGGCCTGGGCTATTTGACGTAACATGAGTACACAATCCTCTATTTCTATGCAACTTGCTTCAAAATATTATGTTAATATGGATATCGGACCTTATTGTCAGCTTACTATAGGATTGTACTGGCAGTCTGACTTTTGTCACTTTTGTCGCTTATTACTATTGTTTAGGTCGATGAAGTTGAAGTGTTTAAGCATGATAACACAATTTAATTCAAGAATGCCACTTTCAATTCTGTTATGTGATTAACTGATTCAGAGTCTACCCATCTTTCGGGGTGATATGTGTTGAGCTGGTTCTTGGCCTGATCCACTATCCAAATGCATCTAATTAGTCTTATTTTGCTTTTCCCATTGAGATGCCATTTTACAGTTGATTACTAATGTTTTTGTAGTGCACATGTACAGATGCCTGTTTTTGTTATGCATATGTTTTCATGTGGTGTCATTTTCACCTAATTTATCTCTGTGCACTTCCTTCTTCCCTGCTTTCATATGCTCCCTCTGTCCCTAAATATTTGACGCCGTTGACTTTTTTAAACATGTTTGACTGTTCGTCTTATTCAAAAAATTTAAGTGCTCCCTCTGATCCATAATATAAGGCACAACTACTTTTTATAGATGTTTCATAATATAAGGCGTGCATGCATGTATGCAATTAGTTAGTATCTTTTCTCCATTAAATTATGATTTTTTTAAGTCCTCCACCATCAAGATCTCTAATTCTATTGGGTGCATGCATGTTATTTATTAGGGTGATACAAATTAGGAGGTGATAATAATTGTTTCTTGGTCTTTGGAGTAAGGGTGGTTGTGCCTTATATTTTGGAACGGAGGGAGTAATTATTAATTCTTTTCCTATCATTTGATTCATTGTTAAATATACCTTTATGTATACATATAGTTTTACATATTTCACAAAAGTTTTTGAATAATACGAACGGTCAAACATGTTTAAAAAAGTCAACGACGTCAAATATTTAGGGACGGAGGGAGTATAAGCAAAAAATCTGGAGATGAAATTCATTTTCTTTCAGTTAATGTTTCATTCTAGGATATTTAGGTACTACCCTCATCCCAAAATAAGTTCATTTTGCATCCATCTTACCCATACCAATACAAAACTAAGAAGACTAGAATACCCCTACTTTATCAAATCCCAATGCAACTATTCCTTACTAGTTACTTTATCTACTCCCAATACTATTATTTTTCTACTTTCACAAATTCTGACGCATTGATTACTCTAAAAATGAACTTATTTTTAGGAGAAATGGAAGGAGCTAAAAATGAACTTATTATGGGACGGAGAAAGTATAACAACAATATCATCTTTAGGTGGTGTATTGATAATTCATACCACCTTCAAATGGGTGCCTTTTATATGTACAGCCAAACCTTAAAAACTTTTGTAACTAATATACAAAATGCTATTAATATTTATTATGTAAAAATGTCATTAGGAAAAGCCAAACTAATGTTCCCTTGGAACAAGCAAACAATACACAATAAAGAAAAGGAAAAATTCCCCATTTCATCCGTCAACTATGTCCTTGGTCTGATTTTGGTCGCTCAACTCTCAAAACCATCCACATTTCATCCCTGTGCCTAAACCGGGACAATTTTCAGTGATGTGGCACCTATGTGGAGTCTACATAGGCAAATAATGAAAAATTTCACCATAATAATCAAAAGTAAACAATAGAAAAAGAAAATACTAGAACCCATATATTTGTTTTTTAATTTGCCAACTATGATGCATGTGGTGGCACATCAAACTATAGATAGCCATAAGGCCCGCCCGACCTAGGCATGGGCTAGGCACGGCCCGAGGCGATCGGGCTGGCACGGCACGGTCGGGTCGTGTCGTGCCTGCCCACGGGCTGCACCTCAGGCCCAGGCACGGCCCACCAGCAGTCGGGCCGTGCCGTGCCGGCCCGAAGGCATGGGCGGCCCATCGTGTCTTCTTTGAAATAAGTCTATTTCCCCTCCCTCCTTTGGGCTGTGACATATATATAGCTAAAATAAGTTTATTTTACGTCCCTACTATTTAGGCCGTGCCATATAATACGTCTATTTTTCCTCCCTATTCTTTGTGCCATGCCTTACATATGGTTGAAAATACGTCTGTTTCGCATCCCTGAACTTTGTGCCGGGCCGTGCCGGCCCAGCGTGCCGAGGTAGCAGCCCAGGCACGACACGACTGTCCAGCCGGGCCGGCACGGGCACGACCTGAGTCGGGCTGGGCCAAATCACCGGGCCTTGGGCCGGGCCGTCGGGCCATATGGCCATCTATACATCAAACCCTGTTGGGCCCATGGATGAAATGTGGAGGGTTTTGAGAGTTGGGGATGAAAATCAGACCGATGCCATAGTTAAGGGACCAAATATGGACTTTTAACTAAAGTAAAGCTCAAGAAAATTCTTTTGAACAAACCATGAAAGCACTAATAGGAAATCCAAATATTTGGTTTTACTGCTATATAATTTCCTTTGTTTATGTTAGTTTTGAATGCTTTATTATTCTTCAGGAAAGACAAGATTTGGTTTTGCTGCTATATAGTTTCCTGTATTTATATTATTTTTACATGGTTTACTTGCTCATTCTTCACCGAGTAAAATCTAATCTATAATCTTTTGTAGTGCTTGCTGTGTTTAACTTTGTATTCTATAAATTCCTCAGGATGGGCTATGAGTTTGAGAGCAGGGGAAGGTGATTGGAGTTCTGTGTTTTCGTTCTTCAGTGTTGTTATACGGCTCACAGATGTAGGCCATGGTGAGTTTCATTCCAGAAGGGCCTTTTTATACTCAAGATTTATGATGCATGTAATATTTACCTATTTCATATCATTGATGGTAGAACATATGGAGGACATTATTGGACTGTTGTTCAGATATATAACACTGCTTCAGACCTCTGGAACTCCTAAATGGATTTTTGACGAGGTGAACTATGGTTTTGGATTTTTTTTTTTTTTGGAAATACTGTCACAACGACCAAAATTGATTGTCACCTCAGTTTGAGCCTTGCAAATTCTTCTGGCGCTGATAGTGCTACTTTGAAATTTGAATAATCAGGCTGTTACACACGACAGAATGAAGTCGTTAGATTGGATAATTGTTTTGGTCAGGATACATGTATTTTTATGTCCAATTCGTTGTAATTGGGTCAGTACTTTTACTTGAGCTTCCGCTATCCCTCTGTGAATGGCATTTTAGGGAGCTACCTTTTTCTTATTTAATTAAATAGTTCTTTACGTTTTGAAGATGAATCATGAAACATGAATATGTGAGCATATCGTCCTAAATTGCTCGTATGTTTTTTCTGTGTGCTGCATGTATTAGGTTCCACATTAATTGGCTGTTAGAAGTTAGGACAAAATGTAGATGGTTCAGGAGAGAAGTTTACTGTCTAAAACAACTTATATAAAAGAACTGGAGGAGTACTTGTGCATGTTCTATTGTTGATCCTACTAGCAAATTTCTTCTGCTTGCAATATACTTGCACTGCTTCCTTTACTATGCAAACAAAGCATTAATGCTTCCTTAAAAGGGTTTATTTTGTATAACTAGTATATTATTATTGCTTGGAATTTGTATAATTTCCCAACTGGTAAATGATAAGGACTAAGTCAATGTGTTTTTGAGACATTATAATGATGCACATAATGTCCATTTTGCATAGCACACAGCTAACTACTTCACTCTGTTTTGATTGTCAAGCTTCTAACTATCCGTGAGACAGGATTCCACTACCGAGACAAGAGTCCTCCTAGCCAATATGTTGTCAATATTTCCTCAAACATGCAGGTATATGTTGTCAATATTTCCTGTACAGTATTCCACCTTTATTTCTCTTAGAAGTTTGAATTGAGGGCAGAGAGAAGGCATCTCTGTGCTTATATAAGAAATTGACTTGTTCAAAATCTTACTACCTAGATATTTGACGGATATGACTTTTGATTAGTCATGTGAGTGCTCATGCAAAAATCAAGAATGGACATTGTCTTTCATTCTGCCATCAATCTGCACCTTATATTATATTTTGTCAGTGACAAGTTTGTACGAGGAAGAATCTTGTGCAAAACTATCTTCTTGTGATACTTTAAGGCCCTATTGCTTGATGACTCCTATGAATTGTTGGATAAGACTTGGTTGAATCCCTAGGGATGTTTTTTTTTTTTTGCGGGGAGAATTCCTAGGGATGTGTGGGTGGGATTTGAGAATATGCACTGTATTCCACCAGATAACTCCCTTCTCTCTACAATTTGTCACTGAATAAGTCCATATCGCATGACTGCAGTATGTTTCAAGGTGGTTGATGTGGCTTCTAAGAGTAAGAGACCAATGTGGTGAATGCCTGGGCCCCAGCTTGGCAATCTCTAGTCATAGCCTTTGGATACTTGTATTCTCTAGCATTAGTGGGATCAGGGACGAGAAGGGAGAACCAGAGAAGTAACTGAGGAAAAAGGTGATCCTGGCAGTGACGATGCAGTGGTGCATGGTTCTTGGGTAATGAGAAGGCTCTAGGTCTAGGCTTCTGTGTAGCTTATGATTCCTTCATGATTCTTGTTATGGTGTGACAAAAAAAAATCTGAGCTTTGGAAGACCCCCAAAGTTTAAATTTGCATATGCCCTCAAAAAAGTTTGAAAATATATGTGAACTGAAAGAGAGATGGTCCTGGGGAGAGTGAGCAGGTGGGAGGGAAGAAGGTAGGGGCATTTTTGAAAAATGTGACAACCGTCTTGAGTGATCTTTGGAGGATACTTTTATTCGTTGCACAAAATGAAATTAACAAGAAGGTTAGACATCAAATTTTATTGAACAATGAAATGGCCAGTTCCACCTAATAAATTCTGCCAGAATGTTCATTCATAAATTACAAAATGAGTTCTGCTCAGTATCATCGTCTCATGACTTTTCCTAATCTCCCTCTATTACAGATCTTTCCGCCGGAAGATTGGCTGATTGCATCGTCTGTGCCATCAAAGTTTTCACCAGATGCTATTCAGAGTATATTAAATGACTTGACTCCAGATAAAGTTAGGTAGGTTTTAAGTAAGTATGGCCCATATAAGGTTTTTTTCTGCTATGTTTACAGTTTGAGATACCAGTCATGTTTTTTTTTATTTGTTTTTAGTGTTCAGCATATGTTAGTTACACAGGTATATTATATGTATTTTAGTAAGTTATACTCTGTTTTTTGTTTTCATTTCAGATCAGTATGAAACCATGAACATACTTAAAATGTATTCTATTTGACAGTAATCTTATGCATTTAATGTTATCAAACAGAACTGGGGACTAGCTACTGTGAGTTGATTGTTCATTTCAGCAGTAACAGTATAATGCATGCTATTATTGTTGCTCTTCAATTACCGCATGTAGTGTCTGGAAAATAATTATTCAGGCTTTGCACTTAGCTGTTGCTTCAGATTCTTCGACTTAACCTATTGTAAGACACTATATAACTCTTCTAGAAGGATGACACAACAAAGAGAACTTTCGCTTTACATAAATTTCAAGTTTTTTCCTACGAAAAAGTGGAGGAAATTTCATCACTAGTCCATTTGCATTTTTTACTGTTATAATTCCAAAAAACAGCAAGAGGCTCCTCACGAAGTTGATCCTATCACAACCATCTCCTTTTTTCCTTTCACGCACTTGATGTATGTATTTGTTTAGTTTTATTTCATTGTGCTTTTACTTAAAGGCATTAATACTTACGTAGTATCGATTGTCTTCTACATTTACTTTCAGAATATTCTGGGAGTCAAAAAAGTTTGAAGGGCAGACGAACTTAACAGAGCCATGGTATGGTACATCGTATTCAGTTGAAGCAGTCCCTCCTTCCATCATACAGGTGTACATGTAATTTGGATGTTACTCTTCCTATCATATTTTCCAATCTATGTGTTTGGAGGTGGACACGTTCCTAACATAATTTGTACAGAACTGGGTAAATAGAGCTCCCATGGAAGATTTGCACATACCAAAACCTAACATCTTCATTCCAAGTGATCTTTCATTGAAGAATGTTGAGGAGAAGGTATTTTTTCTTAAAACGTATTGATAATTTTATTTTGGGAAACTTTTTATTGATATCTTTTGTTTTATCCAGGGAAGTTTTCCTTGTATGCTGCGGAAAACACTGTTTTCCATAGTGTGGTATAAGCCTGATACGATGTTCTTCACACCCAAAGCCTACATCAAGATGTATTTCCACTGTCCACTGTCCCGTAGCTCTCCAGAATCAATAGTTCTTACTGATATGTTCACAAGGTTGCTAATGGATTATTTAAATGATTATGGTATGCAGTAATACAGAGATGTCTTAATTTTTTTATGATTCTTATGGCATAGTTTCATAAACAGTTACAATGTATTCCCAACTTCTCTTGATACAATAGTCTAACACATATAATTCATTTTAGAAAGGACATATGCAAGAGTGAGATTAATATAGAAGTTGGAGACAATTCTTTTCTGTTTAGAGCCTGGGTACTTTTTATTGGCGGAAAAAAAACTCATCCTCTACGTACACTGCTTATGCTAGAAAATCGAGCGATTAAGGACATTGCCATCCCCTGGTTAGTTTGCCTTTGTTTATTTCCATGTTGCAATAACCGACCAAGTTTGTTTTGCTTTCAGCTTATGATGCTCAAGTTGCTGGTCTTTACTATGCTGTTAAGCCAAATGACACTGGGTTTCAGGTCAGCTGTGCAGTTTGCATGAAATAATCAATTGTTTATCTTCGTTCCTAATCCAGATGATGCAGTACTGACAGTGTTTCTATGCATAAACATTTTTTGTCCTAAACACATACCGTGTTTGCATAAATGTGATAAGATGATAGTATGTTACTAATAAGCAGATGCTTGTCATTTGATTCTTACTTAAATCATTATAATATCATAATCCTGATTCCTGTTGCATATAGAAGCATGGAATATACCATTGTCAGTGTTGACCCTTGAACTATTTTCCTTCTTACTTCCACATACTGCTTCAGATCTTTAACTGGATGTGGTTAGGTACAGGCACTGGCTTATAAAGCCTCATTAGTAGTAGTACTGGAGTATAGAAGACATACATGATTTTACGCTTTCACAAGTCACAGTCTCACATCACAGCAGCTTTATCTCCATTTATTTTATTTTTTTCCTTATTTGCAGATACAAATGGCATTAGATTCTCAATTATTAAATGGTTAATATTGCCTAATCCCTGTTAATTTCATGTATAGCGTGTGGTAGCAACCTGACATTGTTGTATGTGGTGAAGCTTTATTATGGACGTGTCGTAAATTGTGATCTATCATTCAAATGTTTCTTCTCCAGGAGTCAGAACTCAGAACTCATGGCATGTTATGAGCCATATTTTTTACAAAATCCTCTTCTTTTCTAATCCTTGAATATTTATGATTGTTTTACAGATAACTATGGTTGGCTATAATGACAAAATGAGAACCCTTCTGGAGACTGTCATTGGAAAAATTGCTGCATTTGAAGTGAAGGTTGACCGTTTTGTTGTGATAAAGGTAATGACTTGCTACAGTTTACAAACATTCTGGTCCTTCCTGATGACGCAATATTAAACCAGAATTCTATGCGGTTGACATAAAGTGAGGGTGTTCTATCTTTTGTTGCTATCATCAGGAAACTATAACAAAGGCGTATGAGAATTTCAAATTTCAGCAACCTCATCAGCAGGCATCGTACTATTGTTCATTGATATTAGAGGAACAAAAATGGACATGGGATGAAAAACTTGCTGCAATTTCTCATACTGAAGCTAGTGATCTAGAGAAATTTTTGCCTCATCTGCTGGGGAAGACATTTATTGAGAGCTACTTTGCTGGTTTGTTTAATAACTTGAATGTTAATTCACAGCTACTTTCCCTCATCTTTGGGCATGTTCACTTTGATGCCAAAAAAAACCTACTAAATGTAGCCACTTTTTTAGTAACATTACCAAAATTTGGTAAGGTTGAAAATAGCATCAAAGTGAACAGGCCCTTTAGTACTGCTCTTTATATTACCTTGTAATGCTGCTAATGACCCTTTTTCTCCCACTACTCATTGAGAGAATGCTCTGCATTATTGATGTTCTTTTTTATGTAATTGATATTAGGAAACATGGAACCGGGTGAGGTAAAAGGTGTTATACAGCATGTTGAAGACATCTTATTCAATGCACCAGTCAGTTTGTGCAAAGCATTGCCCTCCTCGCAGCATCTTACAAAGCGAATTGTAAAGCTTGAAAGAGGTTTGAGGTATTATTATCCAGCTTTATGCCTAAATCAGCAGGATGAAAATTCTTCCCTTCTGCATTATATTCAGGTGTGCCTCACTTCATTGGTGTTATTTCCGTTTATTTCTTGTGCATTTACAGTTTTCCCCTCCTTTTGTACTCTAGCAGTTTCTTTAGATAATGGAAGCTTTATTTAGACTCAGTTAATTACATCAAGATGATACAAACAAACTGAGTCACCCCCGGCCTCTGCATAAAATGCACACAGCCAAAAAAGAAGAAAGAAACAATCAGAACATCTCCCAAGCACAAAAGTTTGACATAAACATATATCTTAGTGGCTATCAATCCATAGACTAGACCGCCACCCATGCTCTTGGGTAAAAAAACTCATGCGCCACCTGGTCCAACTGTTGTGATACCACGGCAATAGTATCCCGCAGTCCCGGTTGGTGGAGGATAGCCCAGGTATGTAGCCACCGAGTAACTAAAGTGATAACCTACAAAGGAGAAGACACCATCTTATTATCAAAAATTACTCCATTCCTGCTTAGCCAAATGGATCAACACAGAGCTGTTGCACCCATCAAAAGCAGATTCCTCATCTCTTTGGGGACACATGATAGCCAACTCTCAAACATATGACAAACATTGCAGTCTAGCTTCTTTTATTACCTTACATTATTATAGTTTTTCCTTAATACACCCAATACACATTACAATCCTGTAACAATGTTTCCTCAATGCAGATTCATCAGGATGACCTCAAACAAAATGTTCTACTTCAGTTGCTTGCCCTTGTTGCTAAGCAACCAGCCTTTCACCAATTACGTTCAGTTGAACAACTTGGCTACATAACATGGCTTAAACAAAGGTACATAATAAGATGTATCTTGTTTGTTTGTGTTGTTTTGCAATAATGTTTTCCAGGTAGCATGCAATCCCTCTTAAAAATTTGACCACGCTATCCTGTTTATCCAGAAATGATTCAGGCGTCCGTGGCTTGCAATTTACAATCCAGTCAACTGTGAAGGTACATAGAGTTCTCAATGCGATTTTAAATGCTGAAACAATTTTCTTCTGTTCTAATATGTTGGTTTGACAGGATCCAGCCAACCTAGATGCCAGAGTGGAAGCTTTTCTTAAGATGTTTGAAGGAACTCTATACCAAATGCCCGATATAGAATTCAAGGTTCAACAGATGCTGTCATTATTATTCATTGGCAGTTTCTGTACTCGTAAACATTATATGGAATAAACAGTGATTTGCGTAATCTGCAGAGTGACGTGAATGCTCTCATCAATATGAAGCTGGAGAAATACAAGAATATAAGAGAGGAATCAGCTTTCTTCTGGCGAGAGATCTCTGAAGGAACTCTGAAATTTGATAGAAAAGAGGCGGAGGTAGGCCCTATTTCTTTACATCGCCCCTCTGATGTACCATTTTTCAATTCCTGGAGTTCTGCAACTGCAGGTTGCTGCACTGAGGGATCTCAAGAAAGAGGAGCTGATTGAGTTCTTCGATAATCATGTCAAAGTTAATGCACCACGAAAGAAGATACTCAGTATACAAGTCTACGGCCGTCTCCACACCAACGAGTACGAAAAGGTAGTTCACGACGAGCCACAGCCGCATTCCTATCAAATAACCGATATATTCAGCTTCAGGAGGTCGAGACCTTTATATGGTTCATTCAAAGGAGGTATTGGTCAGATGAAGTTATAGGTCAACATTTTTATATATTTACAAATTCCGAAAGAATAATCTCTGCGGTAATAAGGAATCAAATGATTAGCACCAGCGTTGTATTTGGTTATTTACTGAAATCTCCTGTTGGGGAGATGGTTGGATTGTTAGTGTGGATGATTTAGCATATATAATTTGGGGATTTTATAGTTGGTTTCCATTTGTGTATGCAGCGAAATTTGGCATGTAATTTCATCTGTTCTTATTTTTTTTAGACAAAATTGCATGTATTTCTTTCGACACTTTCTCCACGACTCTCCTTTTTGCTGGCACCGAGGGTGACCGTGACACTAGTGATCACCTAGGGTGTTTTTGGTTGCTCGCATCATGCTAGCCTGGCTCGTATGAGTCAGGATGACTATAGCCTGGCTGAGTAGATCCTAACGAGGTTGTTTGGTTGGCTGGATTGGTTGATCCTGGTTGTAGCGAGATGTTGTTTGGATGAATGTATGAAATGATCTTGTATTGAAGATATTTTGTTTGGTTGGTTGCAAAAGGGTTTGAGTTCAATCACCTCTTTTTGAGTGGTGAGATTACCAGAATTCAACGTATCAAATTTCATTGTGAAAACATAGGGAAAAAAAGCAATTCGCACCTCAGCAGAAAAAATACCATCAGTTGTATGCACATATATCGTACTTCCTTCGTCCCATAATATAAGGGATTTTGATTTTTTGCTTGCACTGTTTGACTACTCATCTTATTAAAAAAAATTGTGTAAATATAAAAACGAAAAATTGTGCTTAAAATACTTTGGAAAATAAAGTAAGTCACAAATAAAATAAATAATAATTTTAATTTTTTTAATAAGACGAATGATCAAACAGTATAAGTAAAATGTCAAAATCTGTTATATTACGAGGCGGAGGAAGTATCTTATACCAACTTGGTGAGAAAAAAAAAAAAGAAAAGGAGGAAAAAAAGGTAGCGTTGACGAGCAGCATTCTTTTTTTATTCTAATTATGAGGTTTCACATTCATCACCAGAGCTTGCCCAGTAGAACTGATTCACAAGTGTAGCAACTTGCAAATAGGGGCTGATCCAACGTGAGTGTGGGGGACTCAAGTCCCTCCTTAGGCTGAGTTCTTTCCCCGATTTTTTCAACTCACCTCTCTCGTTTTTCACGTGTATGCATTTTAAATTGCTAAACGGTGTGGTTTTTACAATAGTTTTCTATACGAAAGTTGCTTTAGAAAAATATTAATTCAGTCTTCAAGTTTTTTTAAGCTAACACTTTAATTAATCATGCATTAAACAGTCGCTTTATTTTGCGTGCATGAGAGGGAGGGTTCTCAACCCATGCTCTCGAACGCAGCCCAAGTCCTACCCCATTGCATGAGAAAAGGAGAGAGGGAAGGGGAGAAGAAGACTGGATTTTTTCACAATTTAGTTTTTTGAAAAACTTATTTCACAAATATATCACTAAAAAAACTTATCCAAGAAATGGTTCTTTTTGAGACGCGTCGCTGGCGTCGCCCCTGCCACCGTGGCGGTCAGATACTAACGTGCCAGGAGGAGCGTGCTAGCCTCGCCGCCCCCTCCCCCCTTGAGCGCCCCCCCCTCTCTCCCCTCTCCTAAAATTCACTCGTTGTTTTTTGTTTTTGTTTTTCCTATAGTAAAAAAACAAAAAAAAGTTTGTACATTGCCTTTTTTACATTCTATAAAAAAATGGGTTTGTTGAGTTTTTTTTTTTTTTACATTTGAGTGTCCTTTATTTTAATAGGCATTCATACGGACTCGGAATCAGACAATTTATATATCCATGGATATGTAAAAAAAATTACATCCGATTCTCCCCCGCTTTTTGGGTTTGGCAAAATTAGAAACTCCAAATTTCGCTTGCAAGATTGTGTTTTCGAGGCGAGAAGCTTTTCAGTTGAGCTTTGGAAAATTCTATAGGTCACATATTTCATCCATTTGAGTTTAATTTTTCTATGGTTGGTTCTTGTGTGCTCTTCAATGTGAAAAAAATATATAAAAAAAATAAAAGAAAATAAAAAAGTTGCACATATCTCCTCTACACTATAGAGGAGAGGAAAAAAAATGGCGTGGGTGGGGGGAGGAGGGGGGCGGCACCAACCTCATTGGCACGCTCCCCTTGCCATGTCAATGTGACCCGCTATGGTGGCAATAGGACAACGCCAGTGACTCTGGCGTCCAAAAAGGACCATTTATAGAATAAGTTTTTTCAGGGGTCTATTTGTGAAATAAGTTTTATTTACATCTGATGACAATCAACTCTCTTACACATGGTATTAATGAACAGTTAAGCACTGCGTAGCTTCTATGCATTACTATGGGAAAAATGTACTCTTGCATGTGTGCCAAATTTGGTTGTTTGTCACGTTGCATTCCAGCGATTTGATGAATGGCTTTCTTCAAGTTCATATCATTCGTATCAGTTGCTTATGGCTAACTATAAGCCGTAACAGCTTATCAATGTTAAAAATAATATAAGTAAAACTTTTATATAGGTGTCCTTAGCATTTTAAAAGTTGAAGCTGATAAATTTTAGCGTTGGCTTATAAGCCATAGGAAAGAGGTCCTCAGCCACTTTTCAGGTTTTCAAGGGAATAGAAGAATTTAATCGTGTACCATATTCTATATTTTCACATAGGCTGTGTTTAGATTCAAAGTTTGGATCCAAACTTCAGTCATTTTCCATCACATGAACCTGTCATACACATACAACTTTTCAGTCACATCATCTCCAATTTCAACCAAAATTTAAACTTTGCGCTGAACTAAACACAACCATACTGTCCAGTGACTATCCTTTTGATTCCAACGTTCTAGACACGCCACTGGAAATTCGGAGAAAACTGACAAATCGTTTACTCGACTTGACTCGAACTTCGAACAGAAAGATGTCCCCGGTGCACGCACGCTGACCTGGCGGCATTCCGGCCCAGCCCATCTCCCCCCCCACCCCTCACGTGCCTAACCACCAGTCCACTGTCCACCACCCGCGCCGCAGATCCACCGCCCCCACCTCTCTCGCGGTCTCGCCGTGCCAAAGCCAAAGCCAAACCCAACCCAACCGCAACCGCCCGGAGGCCTCGCGGACTCAGCCAGTCCACGCCATCGGCGGCGAGTCAGCGGCGGCGGACGCGATGGATTCGAGGCCCCCCGAGACCGACGCCCCCGCCGAGGCGGTCCCACCGGCGGCGGCGGCGGCGGCGGCGGCGGCGGGCGATGTGGAGATCACCAGGCCACGCAACGACAAGCGCGGGTACCGCCGCGTCGTGCTCCCCAACGACCTCGAGTGCCTCCTCGTCAGCGACCCCGACACCGACAAGGTTCTTCCCGCTTCGCTCGCCCCGCGCTCTACCTCGATCGGGATGGGGAAGGGGGTTTGGTTATCTCCTGGGGGGTTTTGGCTTGGCTTGAATCCCGCGACTACTTGTTTTGCTTGCAGGCGGCGGCGTCGATGAACGTCTCGGTGGGCTACTTCTGCGATCCCGAGGGGCTCGAGGGGCTCGCGCACTTCCTTGGTGAGTTTTTCCTGCTTCGAGCTGTTGCATAAGACCTGAGAATATGGTAGTCGTGGCTGCTGTGGTAATCACTACACATGATGTTAGTGATGATAATTCAATGCTAGGCTTGCTTACCGTACCACTACATTTGGCTTGTTACATAAGATTGTTTTAGGTTGTCAGGTTGTGGACTGACACAGTCATAACAAGCATGTTTGCTTTAAGTTGTTGAATTGATCATGAACATGAAGAATCGAGATTTGGTGTGCATATTTTTTATCACAGGCATACCATATGAAAATGTGCAAGAAAAAAATACTTTAGGTCTAGAGACAGCAGCTTGCTACTTTTGCGATTTTGGGATCACATCCATCAAAACATCTGGAAGACATTTCCAGCTTCTTGCCAGTATCTCTGGATGAGAAATTAAAACAAGTATAGCATGGCCATGAAAATGCATGGATGATTGACTCTCACCATAGCAAAAAAATATTGGACCTGTTGAGCGAACTGCCCAAGCTAGTTCACTAGTCCAGTGGTACACGGTTCAACAAACTGTTCTGTGTAGTTTATCTACTGGTACAAACACAAGTTATGAGATGGCAGGATAGCAACAAGAGGTGGTGTTCAGTTCAGAGACCAAGGTTGGACTCCCTGCCCTCGAGCTATTATCACAAATATTTAGAATAAATGAAGTTGGTGGAGGCCTTGATGAGAACTTGGGCCTTCCTTCTGGACCCATTTCAACAGTGCAGCCCAAACTCAGCTGGTTCAACCAGTCCTGGTTTGACATCGGTTCACTACTTTACCGTGAAACCTGATGGTTGAAATGGTTTAAAGTGGTCTGAAATGCATGAATGGTCCTAGCGCATAACTGACCCGAGCTTAGAAACTGGTTCTGTTTTTCCTCTTTCCCGGTTAAGCTGCTGATCCGGTTCGGTTTTTTCAACTATGATTCTCGCATGTAAAAAAATGTACAAATTCAACACTACTCCCTCCGTTCCAAAATAACTTCATTTTTCATCATCTTATTTGTCCCAAAATAGCTTCATCTTTCAAGCAATCATTGCATTGGAGTTTATGGAAGTGGGGAACAAATGCATTGGGACTAGATAAATTTGGGAACAACCGCATTCGGATTTGATAAAGTAGAGGGCATTTTTGTCTTTTTGCTTTTGTATTGGTATGTGTCTGATGGGTAAAAAATGAAGTTATTTTGGGACGGAGATTGTAGAATCTTATGATAGGTGCTGTCAGAATATCCAGCTAATAAGCAACTAAAATTTTGTTAGTGAATTTGCAAAGTGTCAGAGAGCAAAAAAAAAAAAAAGAAAAAAAAAAGATGAAACGTAAAATGACCTACTTATCTGAAACTCATGAGATTCATTAAAGAACAAAGGTACCAACAGTGTCATTCGGGACTGGAGACTGTTATACTAATGCAGTATAAATATGTCAAAGTGGGTTTGAGATATTGTATTTGTATTGAAAGGGATGATACGTATTAATAAAAAGTTCATTTCAGCACCAGATTGTTTTCAACATCTTATTTGGATACTACCATTATAAAAATCTGGTGTGCCACTGTTATCCAATTAGAAAATTAATTTCCTTAATACTTAATAGTCATTGTATTTACCTTTGGTTGGACAAGTAAAGTAAGTGCAAGTGCACAACTTTCTTATGTGTCATTCTGTTTCTGAGCCTAGTCTATGTTTAATTTGAACAGTTACATATTGGCTTGTTTTGCATATTGCATTTTAGTA